CTATTGCATAAATAGCGCTCCCTACTGCGAGGATCGTGCATCATACGTATCTATAACTGCAGTTCAAAATATATGAACTTTCATATATTCATTGTATATGAACACATCATTTCCTCATTCTCTTATTGACTTAGCTTTTTTGTAATTAGTTCATATCTTTAAACATAAAGTTACCAGCTGCCTTGAGACAAAATGTCAAAATGTTGGAAATTTTCCTTGAAGTTTCTTAAATCTCAGGTTGTTATTATCATTAACCTTAGGTCAAGCATGTGTAATGATCAACTGTTCTTAAAATGTATTTGTTTTGGGTTTTGTGAAATCTTTCAAATTTGAACTGGAACTTCTGTACTGTATTGATGGGGAATTAAATCATGAAAAATTTAAAAACTAAAGAAACCTTTTTTTTATTTTTTTACTTTTGTGTATGTATTTGGTGTCATACTTTGAATTTATAGCTCAGAGGAGGCAGGAAGATATCTTGAAACTTACAAAGTGTATGAAAATAAACCACCTGATGCCCTTCTTGGTCAAAGTGAAGGGGATTACCTCAGCAAGGTGATATTTCTAGCCTTCTGTTGTACATTTTACAGTCAGAGATTTTGCACAGAAAGTTCCAAATATTCCAAGCTTAATAACACTGATGGTGAGATGTTCAGAGAATAAAACAGTCAAATGTTTTTTGCCTTCAATCTTAACTATTTTGTCTCTTGTGTGATTAAATTAGTCTAAGAATGTTCAACTGTTAATAAGATCTTTCGAATCCAGCTCACAGATTGCTTAACCACTGTGAAAGGCATAAACAAAACAGATGTGGTGTCTCTCAGTTCCACATTCGGGGTAAGTACTCACATTCAACTCCCTTGTACAGTAGATCTATTAGGCTATCACACACACACACTCACACACACACACACACACACACACACACACACACACACACACACACACACACACACACATACACACACAAAAAAGAACCTAAAGAAATAACATGGAAAAAGTTGAAAAATTTTAGAAGGGCATGGATTTATTAGTTCAGTCTAATGTTACTTAAAGTAAGTGTTCTAATTATTTGTGTATCTTGGTTATGATTATTGTATTCTTTTTCAACTCTTTAAAGTCTCTTGCTAACATGGCAACAGCCTCAAAGGATGACTTGGCTTTACTGCCTGGATTTGGACCTTTGAAGGTGTTTAAAGTTTATTTTTAAGTAATGTCTTGGAAGAGCATTTTACCATAACATTCAGATCATCTCACATTTGTTCATCAACATCAATGTATTCTTGGTTTTCATGTAACATCAACAGTATTGAAAAATAGAGAATTGTCAATCCTTTTGAAATATTTAGTCAATTAATTATTGGAACAGCTAAAGACTTATCTTCTGACAAATTTTCAATTTGGTTGGGTTTTTTGTCTTGTGATAAAAGCAAGGTTGAATTTATAAGCTGACATGACACAATATCAAATTGGTTTTTTCCCAACATAGTCATAAGTATTCAAGATTTATTGTCATGCTGAGCAACATAATTAATATAACTTGTTGTCAACTATTTGTTTTTTTTTTATACATTTATTCTTTTAGGCTCAGAGACTACATGATATGCTACAGCAACCATTTGTTGGCAAAAAAGATAAATCAAGAGAAGTTGAAGCAAAGTCATAATATTCATTTTCCATTAATGGAATGTCAAATTTAGTCTTTCAGATTAAGAAAGACAAAAGAAAAAGAAACATGATTTACAGCTCAGTCTGTTAACCAAGCAGTACCTAACTACATATATTTAATTCATTACACTTTGTATATATTATGATTTACACAATCAAACTGTACAAATTAAGTTTATGAAAGTGATCCAATCTTTTGTAGTGTGCATGCAAAACATGACAGTGTTTTGTAATCCTTTCCTGATGTCTGAAAGAAATTGCGGTGGACCATTAAGCTATTTGATAATCAATGATTATTTATTCATTCCTATCCATTCAAATATATTTTGAGAGGTACAATAGCATGGTGCTGTTTTCCTGTTTGGGTATGCTTTTGTAAGACAGTGCTAAGAAGCTAACTTATTACATAATATGAACATTACTTTTGTTTACATATATAAATTTTTATTTAGGTTAAAAAATTTTATGTTATGTATTGCTGTTACTGCCTAGTTACTGCAATCAGTTTTTCAATCCTCCCCCCTTCACATTTCCTTACAAATTGAACATTATATCTTATATTCTATTGTAAATATCACTGGCATAGACTCTTTGTAAAGTTTGACCAAGTGATGTAAATGACTTTCAAAATAAATTTAATTTTTTATTTTGGATTCTTTGCATATATCATGTCTGGATTTAAATTTACAAAAGTTGTAACTGATTGTAAACCAAAATGAGAATCATGCCGTGAGGATAGAACTGTCAAAATACCCTAATCCCTCAAACAAGTCTGCAGGGAGGAAGGGGGGGCTTCCACACTGGGGGCTTGCTTGAGGGAAGTGATTAATAGAAATGGGTCATTGAGAGAGGAATTTGCTCAGAACTGATGGCAGTAATTACCATGTTTTGTGTGCATTTCTTTAGTTAAAAAAAAAAAAAACACCCTTAACACTAGTTGAGATGGCAATCAATACTGGCATTTGAATACAGTCAAACCTGTATAAGTGACACCCTTTGTAGGTAACCCTATATCAAGGAGTTGATTGTCAAAGTCTGGATCAAAATACTTTTCACTTAAGTTCTGTAATTTTCACCCCTATTAAACAGTGGTGGTCTCCTTTGAAAGAGTCCCAGTAGCCTTTATTTTCCTCCACTTATTTTGAAGGGTCACTAATATAGTGGAGCCATTCATTAAAACTAAGAATCTCTCAATTCAGATTTCTTCCATGTTTATTTCCCAGAATCAACGTTAGTTGTGTGAGCTTAAATTTCCTTATCGTTTAGTCAACTATCTTTCTTCTTAGGACTGCTGAGACAAAGAGGTGTCTTTTTATCGCATTTGACTTCTAAACTGTGGCACCTTTATTTAGTGGTCAACCTGTATTAAGCAGTCACCCAGCCATTCTCCCATATTCAAAACCAGAGTTAGGATATTAACGTGGTAAACTAAGTTTTTCGCCATCAGTCGATAGTGCACAAGCACATGCTTCCCAAGTCCTAAATTTTAAAGTCCAGTCCAGTATAAATTATCTTCTAAAAGCAGGCCTGGCAGCGTAGCACAATATAAATCGTAGCAGTGAAGTAGTAATGCAAATATCCTGAATGAAGACATCTTAATGTTAAACCATGGTTAAACGAATAACTTGTTGAGTAACTACTATGCCGCCTTACCATAGATCGTCTAAGCAAAGCGATATGCAAGGCCTGGTTCGTAAATGTGCCCTGATAGGTGTGGGTGTTAGCTTCGTTATTGCCTTTTTTTATTGGTGTTTGCCGGGCGAGAGCACGGTTCATTCCGCTGGAAACAGCGCAAGTATTGACTATTATCACAGAACTGCTTGTGATAAGAAATACAACGCCACATATCCTCTGACTCGTCCAGAAGTTACAGCACAGGGAAAGAGATTTAGAATCGGCGTGATTGCGGATCTTGATGAGAATTCAAAGTCTTCCTCCAAAGAAAATACATGGACAAGTCAATTCAAACGTGGATATTTAACACTCAACAATGGACGGGTTTCTGTGGAGTGGGATCAAGATATAATTATTTTATCTTCCACTTTGTCTCAGAAAGGAAGAGGAATGGAACTTTCGGAACTTAAAGTTTTTAATGGGAAGTTGTACGCTGTGGATGACCGCACTGGTGTTGTTTTCCAGATTCAGGACAAACACACAGTTGCTTGGGTGATTTTACCAGATGGAGATGGCACAGAAGCAAAGGGATTTAAAGCTGAATGGATGGCAGTCAAAGGTAAAACTCTCTACATTGGTGGACTTGGAAAGGAATGGACGACTACAGAGGGAGTTTTCCAAAACCATAATCCACAGTGGGTGAAAAGCATTGGGCCCAATGGAGATGTGGTACATCATGACTGGGTGTCTAGGTATGAAGGCTTGCGAGGGGCTTTGGGGATCCAGTTCCCTGGTTATGTTATACATGAGGCAGCAAACTGGAGTGACAAACACAAGAAGTGGTTTTTCTTGCCGAGAAGAGCCAGCCATGAGATGTATAATGAGAAAGATGATGAACATCGTGCTACAAATGTATTGATTTCCTGTGATGAAAATTTCACAAACTTTCGTGTGCATACCATCGGGGAACTCAACTTGACACATGGCTTTTCTTCATTCAAGTTTATTCCAGGAACAGATGATAACTTTTTTGTTGCACTCAAGACTGAAGAGGATAGAGGAACTATCCGTTCTTATATTGTTGCCTATGACATTCATGGAAGGATGCTTATGGATGAGATTCTAATAGGCAACAATAAGTTTGAAGGAATAGAATTTATATGAAGCCACATGATGAGGACTACTTTTAACACTCTCTTATTTTAGGATAGTTTTTGTAATTTATGATTATGAGCTGTCTCTGTTCATTATACTCTTTCAATAAATTGTTTTTAAGTGGATAACTGTGCAACAGACTCACAAACATTTTTCACTAACTCTCCTAACCTGCAAAGGGGTAAAGAAAACTGCAATCTTACAACAGAGGTTTTTGTTTGAAATCATTATTTGGAGGGCATCGTACCGTGATAGTTTCAGAACAATTAAGGTATGATTTTTCTTGTCTCCAATTAGAGGACACAACAATTTATTGGTAAGGAAGGGCAAAGAAGTTACGTGTTGGTAAAATTTATGTAACCGGTAGGCTAAGTCAAAGTACAAAGCAAGGAAATGTGAATGTTGAAAAATATTTGGAGAATTAGTACTATTATCAGTGGGGCCACAATCAACTTTTAGCAGTGTTGTTTGATGCGATGAACATCTTTCTAAAGCCAAAAATTCCCAAGTAAAAAGACAGTTCTCTTATTAGATTGCATCAAAGTCTGTAAGGAAACACTAAATCCAGGTGAAATGTAATGTTTTCAGCAAAATTTGGCCAAAGGGTGACTATGGCTTTTTTTGCTTCAGCTCAAATCATGCAAACTGTAATCCTGTTTTCTCACAAGCGTGTATTTGCACTTATCATCCTCAGAAGTATTTAGATTTACTTTTTCCACAAAGTTAGTCTGTGCATTGCTCTTTTTTTTTCTTGTTGTTGTCTTTCTACACTGAAGTCTATTATAATTCCTTATCAGGTTAGATCAGGTTTGTATTCTTGGAAATAAAAGGTTATTTCCTTAATTTCTAATGCTGATATTTGGATTTGTAATGCATTGTGTCTGTAAACAAAGCATGGAGAAGATTTTGGAGAAAAGTTGTTGGGTACAGCTGTTGAATTGGGGCTGCTGCCAACCTTCATTCACAAGCACTGTTTACTTCATCAGTGTTCGGTGTTGTTAATGTCATTTAAACAATTGTCTTCATTTTTGGATGCCAGTAAAGTTAAACCTTAAAAGTAACCACAAAATCATGTTTCCCTCACAGCCAACCACTTAAGAAAGTGAGAAAGTGATATGGTGGGGGGTGGGGTTTGGGAGTTGGCATGGAGAGGAACGCCCATACCGGAATGCTTTAGTGCTCCGTTTGAGGTTTGAGGTGGGTTAATCCCAACTATTATGCAGGGTCCATAAAATACAGTTTCTTTGGGGCAGGGAGTCTATTAGAGTGCTTCATTTGGTATTATTTTGACTTGGGAGGGGGTACTTACTCGTGGAGGGCGCTTGACTGAATAGAGCGTGGGCGCTTTTTAAAGGAAATGCGACAACTTTTTGTTAAATTCTCAACACATTTGATCTAACATGGGAATCTTGCAGATAACTGATTAAAGAACTTATTCAGAAAATACACAGAAGAAAAAGGCAGACGATGAGTAATGGGGAAATCTTAAATATCGTGCTCGGCTCAAATTGTGACGTCGAAACATATGAAGATTTGGAAAAAACAGTCATAAAAAAAGACAGGGTGACAGACAGCGGCCAAAATGTATGTATTTTCCGCTGTTATTCCAAGTAATTAGTTGCGGTTGTTTTCATTTCACACCTGCTGCACCCACTATTGTGCATTCTGTTTTACATGTATGTCCTGATTGGTCAGTTATTAGTACCTATACTCTCCACTGTCTCTTGAGTACCATTCACGCTTGCGGTTCCATTCAGTTTATTCATCTTTCTGGTTTTCATGTGATGCCCAACGACCAGAAACAGGCTGAAGTGGGCCAAACGTCTTCAGGTGATAGTGGAGGCAACTCAGCAGCCGTTGATCAAGTCTTTTCCATGTTCAAAGATTTTCTTGAGAAAAAAATAGAAGATAAAGGAAGCAAATCGAACAAAGAAGTAAGCTAGATAGAGAAGTTGTACAGCTAAAGTTCAAAGGGAACCAGAAACAATTTGAGCTTAATGCCGAATTAGATACCATTTTTGAAAGCATTGAAACCGAAAGAGGAGGCTATTGTTCTTACTACGAAAAAGCTGATTATCAGCGCCCAAAGCAATTTTTGGTTTCTTTCCACGATCATTGCATCCTCGGAGACCCAGGGGCTGAGTCGATTCAAAGTTAGGGCATGAAGAGCCCCTGGGGACATTGTCTTGCAAGACTAGTTCCAAACGGTCGCAGTCGTTCTGCCATCTGATTGGTACCAGAAAATCTTTGTGTTTTTCTGCCCTATCAGAGTAAAGTGTACTTTAGAAACCTTTCGTGTGTTTCAACACGGAGATATATCCTGGTAGCTCAGTTGCTCGCTATGTTTGTCTGGACCGTGCGACGGTGATTTGCTTGAGGTTAAAAGTTTCAGTCTCAGCAGACAATGTAAGAGAAATCGATCAGATTGTCCGCAAAAATTTTACCAGATATTATACTGAATATTTTCACAGGTA